ATACAATTATAATATTACTTAAAATAAATTTGAATACAATTATAATATAATTTAATTATTTTCTCTATTATATGATGAACTTAACATAAACAAATGAGGTCGATATATCGGTTTATAATAATTCTTGTATAATTATTAAGGATTTATGTATCAATTGGTTAGCAATGGAGGGATTAATGATAAATTTTTGGTATCATCTTAAATTATTAGTTAGTCGATTTTACAATAATGACAGTGTTAATTTAGGGTAGAAAGAGTTACTTACACCATTGTGACATTTCACAAATGCTCCTAATCTAATCTAATCTAACCTAACCCCCTATAGACAGAATTTAATATATCAGTATGAAAAGTTCTCAATTTAATTAAAACTTATATAAATATCGAAAATTAATTAATCTTCGCAGCTAAAATTTTATATTTGGGCCTACCTTTTACCCTTACCACCCCTTTTAAATTTCACAGTGATTGGCCATTGGTACCTTTTAATGAGCATCTATAGAATTTAAGATAATTAAAGCTGATTAAAGGTAAGACGATTAAAACTATTTCATATTAAAATTGGCTGTTGAACATAAAAGAGGTAGTTTATTTTATTTCTCTTGAAAACTAAACAATTTGATCTTGTTCTTAAAAAGATTACCAATTAGGTTTCTTGGCTTATTATATAACATTTAATCAAAGGTATTTAATGAAAAGCTAAATCACCACATCAAATCAGTTCACCGAAATTCGCAGACCCTTTGCTACATTTAACCATATTCAAATTTCCATTTACGCCTAACTTGCTCCACGTTTACTATAGCATGTACTAAATTGATTTATTTGTGCCATAATCGAAGCCATCTAAATTCTACAAAATAATTATGCATCGTATAGTAATTACATTATGTACTCTTATAAATTCCTGACTAAATGTATGTATTTCATATATTTTACTTATAAACATCGGAAAATATTATTAATTAAAAGACAGATTCAAATATACGATAATTCCAGGTACTCGAAATACGTAATAACAAATTTTGCATTGCTCAATTTTAAAGAACTTCGTCAGGTTCGCGCTAAATGTATACATTTCATATATTTTACTTACAAACATAGGAGACATTATTAATTAAAAGACAGAGCTTCAAAAATTTCAAATATATCAAATAATTCCAGGTACTCGAAATACGTAATAACAAATTTTGCATTGCTCAATTTTAGAAAGCTTCATCAGCTTCACGTTTTTGATACGCGTTCGAGGATTAATTTATGAATTATAATTAGCAGCTGCTCTATCCAAAGTTCCTCGATATGACACCCAGAAGAATTGAATAAATAAAAATTGAATGGAATTTAATTTAACGGTGTCCTAATAAGTTACAAGACTAAAATATCAAATATATAAAACAACTTATTTAAATATTAATACCACACGTATACAACTTCCCAGTTACACGATATTACAGAGACTTAATACATAGTACGTACGTTAAATTTTGACGGAAATTACCGGCATAAAAGCTGAATATTAACTAAAAAATTTCAGTTTTCTGCCACCCTGCGAGAAAAAATGGAACGAGATGGCGGGGACATAAAGCGTGACGGTAATTTCACTCGCGAAATTTTTATAGGATGCCCAACCTGTCGGATTGTTAAACGAAATAGCGAGTGGTACACGGGTGCACCCTTAACACAGACATCAAATCGAATTTGTGCATTTGCCGATCGCGCAATTTTTAGAGATTACGCGGCAGGAACGAACGGGGTGCTTTCTGGCAAGCAGAATATCTTTCAGCGTTCTTACGATCCGTGAAATGGCACCCTTAAAGACCGTGCCCGAATGCTTTTCGAGCATTACCAGGATTGTAAACCAGTAATGTAACACATCCTAGATAACCTGAAGTTTTCAGTTGCGTGCATCGTACGGGAAAGGTTTGAAACCTTTATGTAACGATACATATATTCATGAATCTGGAACGTGCGATTTTATGTTTAAACCGTTCCGTGAGGGAAAATAAAACGTTTTCGTTATGGCGCCTCTAAGTCTCGTCGTAAAAACAGTTAACGAATTGTTTAATATTTTCAGGTGTCGAATGAATAGTAATGGTCGACGAGTGTGTAATTTTGCTTCCTAGTCGAGTATATTTTTCAGGGCTAATGTTAGGGGATGTTTTAGTGGTATTCAAATTGGGGTGAAATTGTTGGCAAGCTTGGCTCCAGTGTTTAACACTAGGCTTACTCGGCTATAACCTCGACATAAATGCAGTAGTTTGGATAATAATAACGAAGATTGCGCGATCAAGTGAATACGTATATATGTATGATTATATCTCTGTTTTAATAATGATTAATATTAATTTCGCTAGATATATTCGTGCCTTGCCAGGAAATTTGAAATCCGCCATTTTTACAGGTTTAGTAGGCATAAAATGAAGTGGGAATATTTTGTTTTAATTGTTAGATGAATAATATGGAAAGTATGTATAATTTTGTTTGAAAATTGAGGAAACTTTTTAAAAATTTTTGTTGGAAATTATGTTAGTTATAATAAAATTATTTATTAATTATTATTCATCAATTACCATAAATTGTGTAATTATTCAATAATTATTCAAGTTATAATAGAATTTAGTAGAATTATAAATAAATTTAAAGAGATTTTAAATGTAAAAAGATGTATAAACTTGAAAATTTGATTTTTAATTATCAAATGAAAGATATCTAAGAAATATAATTTTATTTGAAAATTAGGAATACTTAGGAAAAGATAATATCAGGAATTATTTGTCTAATTATAAAAATAAATTATAATTTGTCAATATCTGTCTAATTATAAATAAATTTAATTAAATTTTAGTTTTAGGAACAGTATATTGTCTTGAATATTTTATTTTCGTCTATCGAATGAACAGTAATCTGTGAAATCAATTTTATTTCAAAATTTATCAAAATTTATTTTTATTATAATATTATTTAAATTATAATGATCGGTTAAATCGATAATAAAGTTTACGAAGGTTTCATGTGTGAAAAAATCGAGGAAATTTTTTCTTACATCACGCTATAATAAATATTTGATAAACTTTTCTTTAGAAAATCAACAAAATTAGGTGAACGATCGGGGGTCTTTAATTAGCGAAGGTAACGATCGTTCAGCTGCCAGTTACCTTCTAATCTTTATTAGTCCAGAAATATTGCAGGGGCTTGATTTATTCGATAAATTTATTCCTACGATATTCGTCGCGTTCGCGCACTGCTCATAAATTATGCTAAAATTGTTATCAGAAAGTAGGCGTTGACGTTACATAACTCATGGTCATGAAGGATCTCGTGTTACAACGCTAGAACGTAAATGTAGAACAATATAAAACTGTCAGTTTGCTACTAAGCGTTATTAACAATTTTAAATGACACACCACCATGTGAATGCGAATAACAGTCGATATTAATGAATGGTCAATAACAGTCGATGTATCGATTCTACCCTCTTTTCTCGGCATATAAATTCTACCGATTGTTAAAATGAAATGCTATATTTTATTTGAACATAAATCAGTTTAAAAAATTTTTGTATTAAATGATTTAAACGATTAGGCATATTATTAAAAGAATTTTTGCATACGACACTGAGTACCGGATAACTTTTACGAGTAATACTAAATTCTTGATAATTTCTAGAAAGGATACTGGATTATTAATCATTTTTGCGAGCAACGTCGAATTCATAATAATTTCTACAAATAGCACAAAATTTATAATAATTTATGAGAACATTTAATTTTTAATGTCGTTGGCAAGCAATACTAAATTTATAATAATCTCTGCGAGCAATGCTACATTTCTAATTATTATTTAAAACAACGCTAAATTCATAATAATTGCTGCAGATGACACTAAATTTACAATAATTCCTGGAAATAGGTCAGATTTTTAGTAATTTATTGTAACAATGTTACATTTTTATTATTTCTACGAACTGTAATAAATTTACAGTAATTTCTGCCTGCTACGCTAAATTCTTAATAATTTCTGCGGACAACACTAAATTTATAGTAGCTCTTGGAGTATAAATTATATTTTTAACAATTTATGGCAGGAATATTAGATTTTTCATTGTTTCTACTAGTCACAATAGATTTACAATAATTTCTATAAAGAATACTAAATTCATAATAATTTCTGCAGGCAACACTAAACTTACAATAATTCCTGGAATATAAATCATATTTTTAACAATTTATGGCAGGAATATTAGATTTTTCGTTATTTCTACAAGCCACAATAGATTTACTATAATTTCTACAAGAAATGCTAAATTTATAATAAACCCTGCAGGCTGCACTAAATTTACAATAATTCCTAGAATATAAATCATATTTTTAATAATTTATGGTAGGAATATTAAATATTTCATTATTTTTACAAGCAACAATAAGTTTACAATAATTTCTGCAGGCAACACTAAATTTACAATAATTCCTAGAATATAAATCATATTTCTAGCAATTTATGGCAAGAATATAAGATTTTTCATTACTTTTACAAGCCATAATAGATTTACAATAATTTCTACAAGAAATGTTACATTTATAATAATTTCTGCAGGCAACACTAAATTTACAGTAATTTCTGGAGTATAAATTATATTTTTAACAATTTAGGGCAATAATATTAAATTTTTCATTATTTCTATGAGTAACAGTTAATTCATAATAATTTCTGCAGACAATGCAAACTTGCAACGCTGAATTTATCACAATACTTTCCATAAACAACACTAACCCTCCCTGCAAGCGACTCTAAAACAATTACTCCACCCATAACGTCACCCTACCAACCCTATTCGTACACCCAACACACCACTCCTATCTCACCCAACCCCCCCTCGAATCAGTCTCAGTACACCAGCACACTGCTCCTTTTTACTTCCCAAATTCTCAAGAATTTCCATGCTCTCGAACAGACTTGTTTATTTGCACGAAAATTATAAGCAGAAACTTGTGTAAATGCAGAATGGGAATGGGTGTCCACGCTGCTGGCACGGCAGCAGGCTGGGGCCAGGGATTACCTGGGGGACCACAGTTACCGCCACACCATGCCACGACGGTCACGGCACCCCCAGGGGTGCAAGCCGCACCCCCACCACCACCACCTCCGGCACAAATGATGGCCTACCCGATGCAACAGTTCCAGGTAACCATTACTTTCCTCTCTCTTTTTCCTGTCCGCGTTGCATACTTTGTTACGTGTGTCCTTTACTCGGTGTACTACCTGTATCTCGCTTTACGTGTTCTTGCATCAAGTCTCACCTTTTTGATCTATTCGTTGGGAAGCTGCGGGTCCATCGAGTCCCGATGTAGAGTATGCGTCGAGATGCATCGTTGCGAACGCATACGCGGTAATGGCGCACTTTTGCGAAGGAAAATGGCCGATATGGCTGGTTTTTATTTGACACTGAGCCTACTGGTGATTTTATGCGGTGTTTTGGTTAATTAGGAATAACGATAACGTTATCTCGCGAGGGATTAGAGTTATCGAGAACGTTATCGGACGTTATCGGAAGTAATTGCTCGGGGTATTAAGGTTACCAAAAGTATTGCACAAGAGTCGTTTGGTATAGAGAAAGTGATATCGTAGTTGCACTGATGGGGGACGATTTGAGAATTTTTATTTTCTTTATTTTTAGTTGTAATATAATAGCGTTTGTTGAAATCGATAAAAATATTTACTACGTTACTGTATTTTTTACAGATGGTGGATATCGCCATTTTAATTTTCATATGAACAGGTTCCTCAGGTGTAGGACGAATTGTGGTTGCTTAAAATTTTACTGTTAGAATACTTGATATTTAACCTCTTATTTTGTGTCTTCTATGAGAGCTGCTCGAATGTGTTATACAATTTTTATTATGAAGTAATATATAATTATTTAAGTATTATATATAGTTTGTATTTTGTAATCCCTAGTACGAAGAATTGAAACTGAAATTGAAGTTCGAATCTCTGGTATCGAGTAGTGGTATTGTTGTTATAGTGATAGGGGAGGTTTGAGAATTTTTTAAATGAAGTTACTTATGTTTTATTTTTATTATTATCATTATTAAGAAATTTATTAAGAAATTAAAGTTCAAATCTTTGGTATAGAGTGTTGGTATTATAATTATAGTGATAGGGGAGATTTGAGAATTTTTTAAATGGAATTACGTAATTTTTATTATTATTATTATTATTAAGGAATTTATTAAGAAATTGAAGTTCAAATTTTTGGTATAGAGTGGTGGTGTTGTAGTTGTAATGATAGGGGAGGTTTGAGAATTTTTTAAACGGACCTGCCAATTTTTTATTATTATTATTAAGAAATTTATTAAGAAATTGAAGTTCAAATCAACCTTTTTCTGTCTTTGTCGAATCAAAATTCTAATTTTTCACACGAGGGTGGCTCGATGTTACAAGATAAGGGTGTTAAAATGAATATTTCTACTTTTCATTTTATGGGGTGAATCAAATTAATAGACGAACAACTCGTATAAATCTCGGAAGAACCTCATAAAAAAAGGAATGGAAAATGAAAAAATTAATTCTACGTTAATTATAACATAAAAACAATCGCAAAGTCGTGTAATGGTAGCAACTGCAACGGATGTAAAATTTTTAATTAAAAATTAAAGGACGGTGATTCGATCATTCGTAGGTTTAGTGTTAAATACTCTATTTCGAAACTTTATTCAACAATTAATTATATCAACATTTAACATTCTTTTCTTTTTTTAAATTATTTAATGTTATAATAATTATTCGAGCTCAATAATTGCTCAGTAAATCAAAGAATAATATTTTCCACTGCAAAAATGAAGCATATACAACAATTTGTACGATTATTATAATTCTAAACGAATGGATCAAATTATACTGACAGTTTTACAATATCTAGTCTTGGCTTCTGTATACAGTAAAAGATTCGTTGAGATGATTGGATGATGTTGACTGCGATTCGTGTTACGAGTGGCTTCTTAATGCGACTGTTATCTCCGTTATCACCGTGAATGAGTCATATATAATTCTTTTGCGTTTATTTCATGTGTTTGTCATGTGTTATGCGATGAATGCCACACCCCTTCTTCCTACCTGTATGAATTTTAGTACATTTTTCTGATCACTTGCCTCTGTATACGCTGTTTCATTAGTCATATTCATTATAATTCAATAATTATAATTTGCTTCGAAAATGAATTTTCTTTTTCCTTTTTCTTTCCTTTTTTCTTTTTTTTTTTTTTTTTTTTTTTCGGTTACAACCAGTTGCATGATTTTCATTATCATTTGTTTGCGAATCTTGCTGTCATCGATGCTTCGTAGAATATCGATCTTCCCGGATTCGTTCGTGACAATTAGTTTATGGTTGTTACAATTGCATTGAAATGTACAATCATTACTACACTTTTAGTTGCATTTTGTATTTGCAATCACAGTATACTGCTGGTCAGCTGTTGCTAAGTATGAAGCAAGTAAAGTTGCTAACAGATTGTAACATAGCTCTGTTTTTTAAGCACTTTATTGAGTATATTGTGACTTGACAGTTTATTGAAAGTAATTTTGTATAATGCTACGAGAAACGCACAGAATTTTCATTACGAGAACTCAGACGTAGATTGTTTAATTATTGTTATTTGATGAAATGCAAACATTGCTAGAAGTGGAAATGTTATGCGATTCGTCTAATTTATTTGAAGTAATGCGATGTGCTTCTTTTACTTCGATTATGTTTCACATTGTTTTCCGTTATTATTGACTATTTATTAATTATTGAAATTGTTGATTATTATTTCATAAGCAAAGGGTGTGGGGTAAATTGAAGTTAAACGTATTTTCCAATAACGAGTCGTCTTTAACTAATACTCCATTTTTCTTTTCAATTGGATGCATAGGAATACATGATATGCTAAAATCTAAGTGATCTCAATGATCCATAAATGCATATTTGTCAGTAAGCAATATATACGATATTTAAAATAATTTTAAAAAGTAAATGTAGCTACGAAGTTATACTGTAATAATCGTAAACAGAAAATTTATATTCAAAATGGTAACTGGGTGATTTATTTATGTCAACAAATTTATTTTAATTTTGATAAACAATAGAATTGATCAATTTTGATGTACCTGATCTTTCATATGATGTTTCTACCTGTAAGAATTAAGGAAATATTAATTTAATTAAGGAATCGTATGATGGAACTACTGTATTTTAAACACATTTTAGTGGTATAAGAAATTTATATTGTATTTTCTCTAATTTCAGTATGTATTTGAAGAGATAAGAGGGCCTAACGATACATATTCGAGATGAGGGAATACTAGTGAAAAAGAGTTATAAAGCCTATCAAGATCCTGCATAAGAATCTTTCATCGCAGTAAATATTTTTGTATCTTAGTTAACATTCGGAATTTTATCATTTTCTCACTTAATCAATCAGATCTCTTTGAACATGAATTTCGAACAAATTAAGTATGTTTATATACAGTTTCTTTAATTTATTCAAACTTGCAAGGATCTTATGTGTGCAAGTTATGTGCTTCATGATAATCGTGAGAGAAACACGAAGAATAGTACTAAGCAGACAAAAGTTAGCTTACCAATTTCTTTTGTTCATTCTGCTATGTTATATTTGTTATAACGTAGATAATTCAGACGCTTAGCATATTATTAAATTGGAATTATTTACGCATTTTCGTAAGAAGCTCTAAATTCTTGGTTAATTCATTTGGTTTCGTTCGTTGAATAAAAATCCTTATGAATTACTTTCAATATGCTTCACGATAATCGTGAAAAAAAATTAGAGAAAATTATTCCAAGAGTAGAAAAATTAGTTTACTAATTTTTCTTTACTTCGGTATGTTGTATTAATTATAACATAATTTTATAGCATAATTTTTTAAACGCTTAGTCAATTAATAAATTGAAATTACTCGCATATTTTCATACAAAATTACAGAGTTTAAGTTAATTTGATTTTATTTAAAAAACGAAAACTCTTACGAGTCACTTGCAATATGTTTCATGATAATCGTGGAAAAAAAGATAAAAAATATGAAAAATAATTATAAACAGATAAAAATTTGCTTACCAATTTTTTTAAATTTATTTTTCTTTACTTTTGGTATGTTATATTTATTATACAAAATTGGCTTTCCAGTTTTCTTTTTTTTTTTTTATTTTAATATTACGTTAATATTTGCTATGACGTAGATAATTCGAACGCTTTTCAAATTATCGAATTAAAATTATTCGCACACTTTAGTACGAAGCGTTTTGATTGACGTTTTTACCTAAAAAAAGAAAATAAAAATTTCCATGAATTACTTTCAATATGCTCGATTGCAAATTTTGCTAAGAAAAGATAGAATGATTATGCCAAATGCAAATTCCAAAATTACAGAATACCTGTGACATGTACCTAAGCACTACATTCACTCTCATACTTCTTTTGCATGACGCTTAATATGCACGAATACTTCTCGAAGATATATGAGGCTGAAAGTACACGCTTATTCGGCTTTGTTTGACCAAAATCGAGTATCTCGCTGAGTTATCTCCAGTTATCGAAAATCAGAAGGCAAAAGAACATGAAATTCTTCGATCTTTATGATACAGAAAAATGCTGAAATAAAAATTTCCACGAATTAAAAATTTCAAAACGTGATATCTCGATACATATAAAATGCAACTACGATATACATAGAAATAAATTAATAACGAATAACTCGCTTAACATTTCCCACCTATAAACGTAATTCCAGAAAATCGACGAAAATCCAGGAAAATAGAAATGAAGAAAAACGACGAAGATGTATAGAAAAATGACTATTTTCTTACCGTGATTAGGAAAAATCGAAAGGAGTCCCTATATGGAGGATCATAATTGCGTGTTATGGAATCGTGAGCCGAATTATTCGTTATTAAACAGGAGAGATACTCGAGATCATTCGGGGGATTATTTTTATTTACATATTTCGATTCGCAGGCACAGTGATCGCTACCACTATCATCGCACGGCCTGGCTTATCCTTACTTTCAAATATCACTTTGCATCAAGGAAACTGCATCTACGACCTGGCTCAACCTCGAATTCGACCAGAAAAATGTCGCCGGAGAACGTAGCTCTAAAATGGGTATCGTCGTTGCGTACGAAATTGCAAGCGAATGGAAGGAACGCAAGAGACAAAAGCGAGAGGTTGAACGAAAGTTGCATTGTATCGACGGTGTCGTAGCCGATGTCTCGATTGGAATTGAAATCTATCCGTAGTCCATATAATCGGTGCATAAGAGAATAGTCGAGAATTGCTCGAGCAGCGGAATAATCTGAAAACGTTCACACCACACTGATACATTCCTCTGAGCTATGGTTGTCGATCGAAGCAACCGAGCAACACGATTCGTAGGGCAATATTGTCTCTAATTAATTGCTCACACTTTTCCAACATCGAAAGCAATTGAGGTTGAGTCACGGTAATGGTAGATTCAGATCGACCAGTCTACGTGTGTTGGAATGCGAAGAATACGTGAGAATCATAAGGAGAGACAGAGAGAGAATATATGTGTGCGCGGGTGTGTGAGAGAGCGAGGCGAGTAGAGTGGTTTCTAGAATTAGACAGGATCACGAGAAAGAGAAAGAGAGAGAAAGAGAGAGTGGAGTGCACGAGCGAAGCGTGAAAGACAGAGAGGGAATGACGGAGAGAAAGTTGTCGAGAATATTTCTATTATTTTCTTGAAATTCGGACCAAGACTTAACCAGCGTTTGTGTGTTCAAATGGTAAAGTGTGTTCTTGGTTGCGGTCCAGCTAGCGGATGAGGACTGGCTGACGCCTAGCCTTCTAGTGTGATGGTAAGCAAGTACACCCCACCAACAGGAACAACTTCTACAGCAACAACAGTTACCACCACCACCACCACCATTATCACCACTACCACAACTACCAACAACAACAAAATTTCCGTCACCATCGACGCCACCGCGACAGCAAAAGCAACAAAAATCATGCCGCTTCCGGCTTGATGAATTCATAAAGCAGAGGGCAGAATATGTCAAAACATAGTTAACGATCGCTTTAGTAAAAACAGAGCATGGGAAACGAAAGACAAAGAGGGGATGAATTCTTGTCTGTATATATATAGATATACGGATATATAGATATATATATATATATATAGATATATATATATAGATATAAACGTAAATCGAGAAAAACAAAAATACACACACACACACACGTTTCTTAAAGTAAATGGAGAAAAAGAGAAAAACGAAAAAAATGGAAAGAAGAAAGATAGAGGAACGAGAGTACTTGCACAGGTTCCCCTTCGAATTTTCACGTCCAATATAATAACCGGCAATCTTTACGGGAAAGAGAACTAACTGGTACCGTCAACAAATCGGAGGTATCCTCTCGTCCAGTCTGTAGGGTAACGTAGTGTCTCTCTCGGCTTGAATTAATAGATAGCGTTGCCGTCACGGTAGTGTCAAAAGCTTCAGTAATGAAACACGAATTCCGGGATACGCGGACCACCATGTGATCATCAAAGACAGTTTGTAGCGTAAACAGCCAATATTTTGTGTGCCGCATCGTCCACAAAGGACCGATTACAGAAGAGGGCGAAACGAGTGGACGCACAACGTTGTACAACGCTCGTGATTTGCACTTTCCGCCATTTAATCGACGCTGAACTCCTTTATCTCGAGAGAGGGAGAGAGAACGGTAGGAGAGGAGAGAAAAGAGAGATAGAGATATATATAGAGGGAGTGAGAGAAGCGACAGGACGCCAGTTATCGACCCGTAACCCGGATTCATTATTTTTGTAGTTTTGGGCTTAACAGTGAAAATGAATAAGTCGAAAAAAAAAGACGTGGAAACGTGAAACGAGAAATTGTAAACGCCATTGCACGGACGGTTCTCGCGGACAGGCGAGCCGGCTGGTAATCGCGGTGTATAAATGATAAATAAAACAGAGATCGATAAACACGTGCACACTCGTGGAGGATTATATAAAAGTAAATTTAACAGGAAATGAAAATGAAAAAAAAATGCAAGTTATTATAAACGAAATTCAAGAATTAGCTAGTTAGGTAGGTATGTTATAATAAAAAGTTACTCGAGGACGATTCGAAATTCGGCGGCAGGGCGGAAACAGACCTTGAGAAATTTTCCACGATTCCGCGATTCCTGAGGAACTGTTGAAAAAAAATAAAAATAAAATACCGTACCTTCTCGTACAACCACTCGACTATCGTGAACCACGGAACTGAAAGATCCACGTGTCTTAATCCATTTTTCCGCCACTGCGAGGACTTCCTCCTTCGGTTATTATATTTATTATCAGACTCGAGGCCAAAAGACAAATCATGCGCGAAGTCTTCGCAGACAGTCGAAGAGCCGTTTTTATTATTCGACTTGATCCTTTTGACGCGGCACTTAGACAGTTGGATATTTTTATAAAAGATCAGCCGTATGCGCCGAGGGGTGTCGATCGATGCTGTTGGCCGCTCGTCGATCCCGCTGTTCCGAATTCGAATTAGCCGAAAACACGACGAGGGAGAAGCGATTCGGGGGAAAAGAGGCAAAAGAGCAGGAGAAAACAATGAAACGGAGAGGAGAAATCACAGGGACAGAGGAAAAGGGGAAAAAAGAGAAAAGGAAAAAAGGAAAAAGAGAAATACACGAAGAAAAGAAGAGAGCGGATCGAAGATGGCGTGGTCCAGCGATCGATCGACTCCAATCAATCGTGTCGGGTCTACCGTGGTTTTTAACTTATACCTTAGATTTTTATATAATACGAATACCATAGAACCAAAGGGGAAAAAATTCTCGACCTTAAGACGCTTAAGCAATAAATCATTAAGCTTAGGAGAAAAGTGAAGAAAGGAACCGTTTATCCCTTGCGTCTCTCTAAACTGTGAAACTCGCTCTCGGCTATATTCAGCTTGCGAGCCACGAATTATTCGTAACAACGAAGGGTATATAGATCGGAGAGAGGGGCCAGGACGTGAGAGTTTTTATGGAATCGATAAGATATAAGACAAACGGGGAACCGTGTGTCGACGTTAATGGTCTGTCCGACGTCCCGAATTTCGACTTGGCCAATCTAATCGATGCAACAGAATAAATAAGAAAAAAAAATAAAACACACGAAATAATCGAGGGGTGTTGTTGAGAAAAGTAAGCAAAAGGAACAGGTGTGCGAAGGATGCATGGATACGCTCGCGGCGTACAAACACGTGAGAATGACGAGAGGCGAGAGAAAGGGTTGAGAGTGAAGCTGAGGTCCGCGGACAATGAGAATTATAGAGCACAAGCGAGAGACGAGAGAAAAAAAGATTAAACAATTCGTAGATAGACACATTGCACAAACAGCACGAAAGTTAGATTAGAGGATCCGTCGAGTTCCTTCCTCGCGAATGCGTATCCTGTCCTCCGATTCAATCTTTTTCCAGGGTTGTGTGTCTCTCTCTGTTGTAATTCCGTCGTATCGAAAAAACAAATCCCTCGGCCTTTAGAACCGTCGCTGGCCAGGGTCGGACAAAAGGAACGAGAGGGGGCAAGATCGTTAGAGGAGAACAGGTTAGGGATTAAGAAAAAATGAACGCGAAGATCGACGACGGTTTAACAAGTATAACGAGGACGAAGTAATCCCATCTGATTTGCCTATCTATGATCCCCGCTTTAGACCTTCCTAACCACCCCGCCACCCTCCCCGTCTATTCTTACTCCATGCTTCGTCTCTTTCGGTTTTAAGCACGATCCGATGCTTCGTATCGCGTACTTCCTCTGTTTCGTCGTTCGACCGCTCGAAATCACCCTTTGATGGCCGCCCACTCCCTCTTCCTACCCTCCCCTCTCTCCCTCTCTCTCTATATATATTTTTCTCCCTCTCTGTGTCCGTGTTTGCACGGTGTTTTTTTCAATAATGAAACTCTCTCATCATACGAGCTCGCGTCGTCGTCGGCTGCAGAATCCGTGAGTTTCGTTGCGACGCGATGAAACCCATAGGATTTAGACGAGCTGTGAACCCCGAACTCCGATGTGGATGGGAGAGAAACGGGAAGAAACGGGGAGAATGGCAAGGGAAACGAAGGAAAGAGACGATCCAGGGGGATGAAGGAGGATTAAAGGGAGAAGGAGAGGTGAGAGAGAGAGAGAGAGGGGTTGGAGGGCTTTGTTATTAATCAAAAGATAGACGGATCGTGCTTCAAACGAATCAAAAGCGTTCGACGTTTTCGAATCAAAAAACGCGATGATCAAAGAACGATACAGGGACGTTCGCGAGACGTTGCGGTCGAGGAAGCGAATACGGGAGCATCGAATACGAGAGAGAGGATGAGGAAATCAAACCCGCATGGGACAACGTAGCATTTAGGAATTATCGGTAAATTAACTAATTTCCCCGAAACGATTCGATACCGTAGCACGTGGATATGGATATAAAAGGTGTGCCTTCAGTCCATCTCGCGGACCACAAATATATTTCGTGCCATTAATTCCTCGTAAACTAATATTGTTCTATTCGGCGAGAGTAAACGAGCAAACGTTTCTATGCCTGAAACATAAAACGTAAGTATAGAAATCTGACGACTACGCGTAATTCGATAATCTCTTAGTGTCTTCCCGGTACGAAAAAGAATCTCGACAGGACTAAAGTAGCTGGGACGTTCGTTCGAACCTTGTTGCGATTTGGACACGTTTGCTTTGTCATTCGGCAAATTCGATTCTTTATCTTCAACGGGTTAATCGATCCCTATCGATCATTTCGGTCTTCAGCGACGCGTAGGGTATGGGAGACAAGGTGATAGCACGTCTGATAATTTTTAAACATTTTTATTAGCAAAAGGGGAAATTGTACGAGTGTAAATTAAATTTTATTTTACAGTGGAAGATTAACACTGCTTGGTGTGATCGATAAAAGTGTTTGGAAATATTTTCACAGGTGTAGTAAAAATTGGTTTCGTTTATTTAGTTCCCAAACCTAACGCGATAAGCATTTTTTTCTCGGGGATATTGGAAATTTTTCCATTATGGAGAAATAAAATCTCGTAGAATATTATCTTGTCGTGCCCACTTTTCGGATAAACAGGCAAAGTTTGTAGAAAAATTGGAAACTGGGAAATCCCTTTTCGTGTTATTAAGGAAGGCATACATTTGTGCGTGTTGCAGTGATTTCAAGGATAATTAAAAATTATAGGGTGTGCTACCATTTTGATCCTGTACGACCGATTGTCACGTATTCTATTCTAATTTTGCTGACACTAGAACTACCAAATTAGACATAGTGATTATTGAACTATTAGTTAATTTTTGTATTTCCAATTATTAGAAAAAGAACGCCATTTTTGGTAAGATTCACGTTTATTTCAGTCATATGTAATGCAATACGTAGCATATATGAATAATATAGTACACTGTGGTATACTATGGTATACTGTGGTATAGTATACCACGTATTATATAAATTATATATACCATTTATCGCTTTCGTTATACCACTTTAATTGTCATTAACTATCTGTAATATACGTAGATAGAAATTGGTAGTTCCAGTGTCGCCCAATAATTCGGAAAAATTACACGAAAGGTCAGTGCAATACTTTCATTCGACTTAAAACGAGAACTATACAAGCGAATCAAAAAAGAAAAAAAAAAAAAGTTTGTACAACGGAGAAATTTTTATCGTGTACCTAAAGCATAAGGATTGTGGCCCAAGATTAAAACCCAACACCAAAACATATTTCACTCTATTGCCCGTCAATTGTTTTTATAATTGATAAACACGAGAGACGTGTAGGAGCCATTTGTAGAAAAGAAAACGAAACAAAAAAAAATGTAGATGGAAATGAAATTACACGAGAAAAATACAACGAAGCGGCTAGAAAAATTGGATCATACGTCGCCGAGCGTGCGTGAACGTGGAAAAAATCATTGGCAAATTTCAGAAACTTTATATCGAGTTCCGTTTCTCGACTGCAAAAACAGATGTCGTTGTTGAAATGCGCAGCCTAAAGGACACGGTACCGATCGCGAGGAAGAAACGAAAGAATTATAAATAAATATATACATACATATAAATACAAAAAAAAATATATATATTATATATATATTATATATATATAAATACCAACGTGCAGCGACGACGAGAGCTGTTATTTTGAATCGTCGTGAGCGGAAAAGAGATAAGCGCTGTGCGTGAGATAAAGAGGGGTAGAGGAGAGAGAGAAAAAAAAAAATAGCTTTTAAGAGACGACATAAGAACATAAGTGAAACAAAAATATCGTGTACATTATTAGTTAGGCGAACAAACAAGAAAAAAAAAAAAAATAAAAGTATAGGTTATTTTTCTGAAAAGTGGAACGAGCGAGAGACACCAAAAAAAGAAAACAAAGAAAAATGGAAAAAAAAACAGAGAAAAAAGAGGAAGAAAAAGGAAAAAAAGTAAGAAAAGTGGGAAAAGGGCGGCGGATGAAATGGCAGGTAAGAGTGAGAATGTACGACGTAGATCGTAGCGTGAATTTAAGGGGCAGCACGAGGCGTCGTATTGAAAGAAAGTCGATTAAACGGGGTGGGGGTTAGGACGGGCCGGGGTGGGGGGAAGGAG